ACTCTGTCTCAGGAAGCAAACCAAACAACCAACCAAACAAAGCAAATGCACTGAGGGAAGTGAAAAATATGAAAGCTAGTGTTTATTTAGTCCACTGCAGTTTAAAATGTTGAGAACCAAGGGCTATATTTCTTTGGAAAAAACAAATCCATACCATGAATGGTTTGTACATTTATTTTCTTCCTCCTGCAGTTTAGGTTACCAGAGGGAGGGAGGAGGCACCAGCTTTTTCCTTTCCTTTCCTTTCCTTTCCTTTCTTTTCCTTTCCTTTCCTTTCCTCTCCTTTACTTTCCTTTCCTTTTTCTTCCTTCCTTCCTTTCTTTTTTCTTTCTTTCTTTCTTTCTTTCTTTCTTTCTTTCTTTTCCTTTCTTTCCTATTTTCAATGCTGGTAATGGAATTCTCAACCTCACCTTGGCAAGTGCAGCACCACTGAATTATACAACCAGTTTGGAGGAATCTTTGTTTTCTTTTTTCTTTTGTCATTTAGATATAGACTTACACATCATTTCCCATTCATCTCTTCTCTGACACTGGATCCTGTGCTATTTAGGGCATGTGCTATGGCTTAGATCTCATGAGTTCCCCAAAATCTCATGTATTAAGGAATTGGACTCCAGTTGAGGGCACTTCTGTGGTCTGGTGGAACCTTTAGAAATGGAATTGAGTGGAAAAATGTTAGATGCTGAGAGTGTGTCCTTGCAGAGGAAGTTGGGCAGCATGGGGCAGGGGTCTTTCTGTGCCCTGGGAATGGCCCTGTTCCTTCCCACATATTCACCTTTCTGCTTGCTACCTCCTGAGACCTGCAGGAGTTGATGGTATACTTCCTGAAATTTTACTTTCTCTAGGACCAGGGCATATCCATCCTCCTTTCCTGTCATTTTCCTAGATTATGAAAATCTGTGTCAAGCAGAGTGTGAGCCCCAGACAGAAAGACTGGACTTGGAGTCACCAGACAGAGACTTTGCAGGGCAGTAGGGTCTGCCATTGCCTGATTTAAAAAGTAAAGCAAAGCAAAACAAAACACAGCCAAACCAAACAAAACAAATTGAAATGGCTGGGTGAGGGGCACACATCTATAATCCCAGCCCTCTAGAAGCTGAAGCAAGACAATTGCTTTGAGTTCAAGGTCAGCCTGAACTACATAGTGAGACTGCTCTGAAAAAGAAGAAGAAGAAGAAGAAGAAGAAGAAGAAGAAGAAGAAGAAGAAGAAGAAGAAGAAGAAGAAGAAGAAGAAGAAGAAGAAGAGGAGGAGGAGGAGGAGGAGGAGGAGGAGGAGGAGGAGGAGGAGGAGGAGGAAGAAGAAGAAGAAGAAGAAGAAGAAGAAGAAGAAGAAGAAGAAGAAAAAGAAAGAAAGAAAGAAAGAAAGAAAGAAAGAAAGAAAGAAAGAAAGAAAGAAAGAAACTGCCTGATTATTTTTCAAAGTCCTCCCGTGTCCTTCCCTTGCACAGTGGCTTCATTGAAGGAGAAAGGGTACTGACTTGGAAAGTTTCCGGGGTAGCATGAAGTAAATACCTTTATTACTACAAGAAAATATAGATTTATAGACACACAGTTTATTGATACATAGTTTTAAAACCATTATATTTTCTTTCCTTTTCTGCTCTTTTACAGTTTTTATTTGTTATATCAATTAATGAGTTTCACTTTTGTAGCTTTTTAGATATACATAACATATTGTGACCATTTCCACATATGCCCTCATCATAGCCCCTCTTGATTGTACATGATTTAGTAGCCAGTGAATCCAGACCGGTTTTCAGCTTTCTCTAGATAAGCTGGGTGGTAGACCAGATGTTTCATTTTGAAAGGCAAGAACTAGGACCAGGGGAAACAAATGAGTCATTCGCTGGTTCCCTCAGTGCTGTTGAGTTTTACTCATATTTGACCAAGACAGGCCAGTGTGTGAGATGAGGTTTCTTCTGTTCTTACACAGGGTGCAAACAATTAAGCCTGAGCTATTATGGCCAGGGTATGTTTGGCCAAATAAAAATTCTCAAAAATCCAGAGTGAGAGCAATGTTGTGAAGACAGTGATGCCATCCCCAAATGAAAACAGAGCTGGAATTTCTATGTACACAGGGGTCTTCAAGTGTTACAGTACATGATATGGACACTGCACCCATTCATGCTGGCAGACAGGACACCCCTAAGAGAGGTTGATCTTTAAGACTCAGGTCAAGGCTTTTGTGTCATGAATTAGGATTAAAGTTGAGGGGGAGAAGGTCCTGAGATCATGAATTTGGACATCAATGTTCTTAATGGGGTCTTACTATCTGCAAGTTAAAATAACACTGATTCTCTGTTTAGATTGTTTTTGGGGGGACTAGCTTTACTGGGACAAGAACCTAGGTCCTACACATGCTGGACAAGTGCTTTCACCACTGAGCTAAACCTTCAAAGCTTGTTTTGTATTTATAGAGAACACCTCACTAAAATCCCCAGACTGTGCTCAAACTGTATCCCCAGACCTTACTACTTTATATTTTGTAACACAGTCTCATACATTCCTAAACTGCCCAGACTGTGCTTCTGATCTTCCTTTCAGGGTAAGCTGATCTCTTCTTTTGGGTTCATATAGATAAGCAAAGCACAGGGACTACTTTGAAACGATTGCTTTATGAGTTGAAAGGAAATGATTTATCTAATTTATAGGAAAAGGAGTTTAAAGGGAAGTGAGTTTTGTGCACTGGAAATCATCTCCAAAGAGAGAGAGACAGACAGAGATAGAGAGAGCCAAAGAGAGCCAGAGAGAAGCTGGCACAGAGACTACTCATGAGTTGCGGAAAACCGCTGTGAAAGAAGGTCAGTGTTCTAAGGACATGGATGGGGAAAGGTAGCAAAAAAAAGTGTTTGAAGTTTGTTATATACTTGTGGGTCATCCTTCATTGCTTGCTTTCTTTTCCCTTCCTTCCTTCCTTCCTTCCTTCCTTCCTTCCTTCCTTCCTTCCTTCCTTCTTTCCTTCCTTTTTTCCTTCCTCCCTTTCATTCTTTCCCTTTCTTTCTTTCTTTCTTTCTTTCTTTCTTTCTTTCTTTCTTTCTTTCTTTCTCTTTCTTTCTGTCTTTCTTTCTCTCTGTCTGTCTCTCTGACTGTCTTTCTTTCTCTCTGTCTGTCTTTCTGTCTGTCTGTCTTTCTTTCTGTCTGTCTGTCTGTCTGTCTTTCTTGTTTTCTTTCTTTATTTCTTTCTTTCTTTCTTTTTTTCTTTCTTTCTTTCTTTCTTTCTTTCTTTCTTTCTTTCTTTCTTTCTTTCTTTCTTTCTTTCTTTCTTTCTTTCTTTCTTTCTTTCTGGATTTCTTTTAACACAGGCTCTCACCAGGAGATTGAGGCAGGCCTGGAACATACTAGGAAGCCCAAACTGGCCTTGAACTTTGGTGATCCTCTCACTTCAGCTTCCTTAGTGTTGGGATTACAAGTGTGATCTACCACACCTGACTCAACTAAACCTAGCCCTTTCTTTTTCTCTTCCATTTTTTCCACTTTGTACTGAGGATGGAACCATGACCAGCCTACTAGTGAGCTATAACCTCAAGGACTTTTACATTTTTTTCAAGAGACGGTCTTAAGACTGTCTTAAATTAAAGCTTCAACTTGTGATCTTCCTGCCTTCTGAGTACTAGGATTACAAGTATGTACTGGAATCTCAAGTGTGGACCACAACCTGACTCAAAGTTTCCATTTGCCTGATATGGTGGGAGAGTTCCTAGCTGCTGAGGCTTATAAATAGCTGAGATTGCATTTTATTCCTATGCCAAGCTTTCGCCAGTTGATGTTACTAAGTTCATGTTACCTTTCATTTGTTGTTTATGAAGATTATGCCAACTTTTCTTCCTTAGTTATTGTTGTTGGCTTTTTATTTTGTTATTTTTTTTCACTTTTCCCCCACAGTGAATATGAAACCAAGTGCTATTGGGTTATAAAGTGCTGGAGTTTTCTTCTAGAGGTGGTTTCTAGGGTGTTTCTGTCCTAAATAAAGAATAGGTCACATCATGGAGCAAAAGGTTGTAAGGTTTTACATTTATGAAAGTTTAGAAAAGCAACGTACTTTGCAGAGTTCCAAGAAGCAATATAGGAAAAGCAGTGCACACACAGCCTGAGAGCAAACTATTTTGAAAGGACACAGCAGCACAAAGCTGAGTGGCCACTGTCCTTTTGTATCTCTTGTTCCTCAGGCTGAGGTCAGGTACGATGGAAATCCTGATGAAGTCACGCAAGAAGGACTTGATGTGGTCCTCTCTGATGGGACCCATGTGCAGAGCTTTGGGGAGTTTTGTGTCCATGCATCCTGGAACATGGTAATTAACAGGTCAGCTCACTCCCCCAGCCAGTTTGCCACTGTCTAGTGTCTTTCACCTTCACGTAGAAACTGTATCCCCAGACCTTACTACTTTATATTTTGTAACACAGTCTCATACATTCCTAAACTGCCCAGACTGTGCTTCAACTTTCTGTCCTTTTTCCTCAGCCTTGCTGATTTGCACTGGGATGATGGCTTAGTTAGAAAGGACTGAGGGGTCTTTCCTAGAACTGTAACTTTTTTTCCTTTTCATTTGGAAAAAGGTGTGGCGATATAGCTCAGTGCCAAGTCCTTGGTCAGTCCCCAGTGCAAAACAAAACAAAAAATCACACTTTAAGTATTTACTCTCAACAGCATTTCATAGATGCTATTTTTGAAAACTAATGTAAAAAGTTGGGATGTATGTAAAAATGCATCACATTGACATTTAACTACCTAATGGTGATGAGCAAAACCTACCCCTTGGAACTTGGTATCTTTGGATCACTGGTGGTGAATCCAGCCTTGAGCTCCCTGCATCCAACCCATGTTGCCTGCAAAGCTCTGCCTTTTATGTTACACTGAATACCAGGATGGCCACATGTAAAAGATGAGTATCATTTGTACCCCATGTCCTGCTCCTTGTTACCAGTAATAGGGAGTAAATTGAAAGATGGAGAGTGCTGGGCCCTGTTATGAAGGATATAAACAAGTAAAAGATGCTTGTGTTCAGCTTTTCCTGTACACGGTGCCATAGCCCAAGTCATTAAACAGCCTCATCTTGCTGAAGCCTGCCAGGCTGCCATCCCCTGGCTGTGCATAGTTGTCCTGATTTGACAAGAGCTGATGTCTTGGCTCCGGGCCGCTGACCAAAGACAGCTCCTGGGTCATCAGCAGGGAGCTGACATTTGTTACCTTTTACTCAGGACCATTGGGCACAGGGAAGGTCATGCATTTACCCTCTGGTCCTTGTTCATCTTCAGTCTCTGAGCACGTGCTTATCTCAACCCATGCCATTTGGCTTTTCCTAGTAGGGAAAGATGAGAGATATCGTGGGAAGACCTCTCCCTGTGATGGCTTAGCTGCCAGAAAGACAGCTATGGTATTTCCTTTTCCCTTCAATTGGCTCTAAGCAATGCCAGTAAGGCCAGACTAAATACTGATATGTAATCTTTAAGGCCAAACTGCTTCCTTTAACTCTTCTGATTCCTCACCTAGTGCTCTCTGTAAAAGATCTAGCCAGCTCCAGGGATGTCGACTGAGTACCAGCCTCAAAGCAAGAAGCTATGATTCCCAGGGCACAAAAGTTTACATATCAGAAACTGAAGCAACAGCCTCCTGAAAACATTCAAATGCTACCTTAATTCAATTATGCAGGCTGGTTCTTCTGCATGTCATTCTCTTTGCATTTGCACGTGAGTGGGCAAAGTCCTATGAATCTAACCATCCATGAGACTAAGTCCCAAAATTGAGAGTATGAAGCCAGCCTTGGTTCCATTTCAAGCTCAAGGCCAGACTGAATTTTATAGCAAAAGGTTCTTTCAAGTAAACAAAACAAAACCACTCAAGAGTTATTGAAGCTGGGTGTAGTGGTGTATGCTTGTAGATTCAGTGCTTGTGATTCTGAAACAGGAGGATTGCCATGAGTTAGAGGCAAGCATAGGCTTCATTGTGAGACCTTGTCTCAAATAACAATAAAGAAAGAAAAAAAGGAAAGAAAGAAAGAAAAGAAAGAAAGAAAGAAAGAAAGAAAGAAAGAAAGAAAGAAAGAAAGAAAGACAAAGAAAGTATTGGAAACTTAAGTATTCAGTGAAACAAAGCAACCTAGGACACTTGAGATAAACCCCTTTATGAAGACAGTGAATCATCCATGTATACAATATGATAAAAATCTCCTAGTACTTCATAAGAACAAACAAGCAAACAGAAATCTCTTAATACTAAATGTGACTAAATAGCTTTTTAAAATAAAAAAAAATTAAATCAGAACCTCAATATAGAGACCTGGATGGGCTGGAACCTGCTGGATGGTTCAGCTAGGTTTCCACCTCACCGTCTTCTTTCCTCAGCCTCCTAGAGCTGTGGTAATAGATTTGCAGCAACACATTCTTCTTGCCTCTGGTATTTTGCCTTTCCTAAGACAAGCAGTTTCAGGCATGCTAGTGTAGCACCTGAGAAGCAGAGACAAGACAATTCTTTTTTAATTAAGAAGATTCTTGAAGTCTAACTGAGATTCATAGTAAATTCTTTTTTTAATTGGTACTGGGAATCGAATTCATGACCGCCTGCTTGCAAGGTAAGTGCTTATGCCACTGAGCTAAATCCCCAGCCCCCATAGTAAATTCTTGTCTCAAAAAAACTGAAAAAAACCATAAGCAAGCAAGCAAACAAACAAAACTCAAATAAACAAGTTAACAAAGAAGAAACACACACACAAAAGGGAAAACACCGCACCATGCCAAGGATGTTGGCATAATGTCTATAATCCCAGGATTTGGGAGGATGAGCAAGAGATTCAGCATGCATTAAGGGTCAACTTAGTGAGTTGAAGGCCAGCCTGAAGTAAGTAGCAGGACTCTGTCTCAAAGACGGGGCAAAATGAAACAGAAAACCTCAGAAAAGACATATCCTCAGGGAAAAAAGAGGCACCATGAGGCTGGAACTCACCCTCAGGGCTAAGGTCAAAGGCATCAGGCCTCAAATACATATGAGATGGGGGCTGGTTTTGTGGGGTGCTACCTCCATCATGGGCCTCCTGAGGATGACCCAGGACAACCTATGACCTAAAAAGATGGGGAAAAGCCACAGGAGAAGGTTTGAAAGTTTTCACAGCAAATTTAGAAATAAAAATGGGCAGTTGAATGAAATAGAACGTGGCAAGTATCCCACAGGTGCAGTGTGATTTTCTGCAGGGAGGAAATTCTGGCTTTATTTGTCCCCAGAAGGGCAAGAGTGTTTTACACAGGATTAGCACAGTTTTAGTCCATGAAAAATAAAACAATGTTTTCATAATTTCATAACAGAATTAAATAGAGTGATGATAGTGATTACACTGTGCATCGTTAGGCCCAAACAGTGAGCAGCAGTTTGAGATATATTCATCTAAGTTCTGTCACTTCCTTGGTGTAACTAGCTTAGTCCCTAGTCCCTGAAGCCTCCTTTTATGCTGCCAAGTGGAAAACTGTAGCCCTGCCCAGGCTAGCACAGGAGACAAGCAGAAAAGTGAAGCACACAAGTTCTGACCACGTGGGCTGGGATTGTACCTTGTGGGCCTCAGGCAGATCTGTGTCTTCAGCAAAGACCCTGTTACTATTTTCCCTTTCTAGATTCTCTCATCTTGTTTTTCTGTCTCATCTTTTTGAGACAGGGTTTCACTATGCAGTTAAGACCGGGCTTGAACTCACTTTGTAGATCACACTGGCCTCAAACTTGCAATCCTGCCTCAGGCTCCCAAATGCTGAGTCCCAGGTGTTTCAATCATGCCTGGCCTGGCCTCTCAATTTACACATGATTCGCAAGGAGAGCTCAACAGTCTTGTCCCTTGTATATCTGATCCTAACAGCTGGCCAGTTAACATCGTACGTTTTCTAGACTGGCTAGCTTAGTATATCTTATTTAATGTTCGGAGTTTACCCCAACTTGCTACAGATATAATCAGAACACAACAATCCACAGACACTCTAGTGTCCCCAACACATTTATTTCACAAATAACTAGAAGACCACACGTGTCCACTCTTATCCCCAAAATGCCAAGTATTTTTGGGATCTGCAGGGAAAGCTCTGCACTCTCCTCTCCTGAGTAGCTGTTGCAGATGGCCTCTGAGGAAACAGGCACAGTCCACCTAGAGCTCCTGTAGGCAGTCTGCTCTCCAGAGGTGAAGAATGAGTTAATCAACATACTCTGCAGTGCATATTAAGTCCTGTAATACCCATTAGTGAATGAGCAAGTTTTTGAAGATTTCTCATCTGGCCCAGGTAAGGAGCCAATGATGCCAGGTCTCTCATACCCAAGAAGTAGCAAATTCTACTTCCTGAACACAGTTCAGCTCAAACATCTTGAGGGCATCCAGGAAGGTATCAAAAGGCACCTCATACACCTCTGTCTTCTTACAGCACAGGTGGACCAAATGTCTCTCTGCTGGACCCAATCAAAAGACAGGTTTGAAATCCACTGAGGGTCCTGCTCTTGCTGAAAAGCTCTGTCATCACCTTCACCATATGGTCATCCACTTTCTGGTCCCTATGTTCATTATCTGGTGTCCAGGTACGAGCCATGGCTCTGAGCCCCACAATCCAGAAGTCCTGGTGCATGTCCCTCAGATCCAGCACCTGCAGTTTCCACCTGCTGTGGATGAAAAGGGAGGCAGACCCTGAACTGAGGAAAGACTCAACTTCCAACCTGGGCTTCTCTTCTGCTTTCTGTGTATTGGCAGCTCTTTTAGTTTTCTTGCCTTCCTTTTTGTACCCTTGACATATAGCAAATGCCCTGGTTCCACTTCGAGTCCCTGCGGCAGGAGGCAGGTTCAGGCTCCTCCCATGATCTGCATGGCCAGCACACACAGCTTTGCAGTCAGGAGGCCCCTTCCAAGATGGTTCTCAGCCACGGTCATGGTCTCTGTGAGCCTCTTGTCATAGCATCAGCAGCTGCTGCCCACACCTCTGCCCCCCCATTCTCCATTATCCCCACTGTTATTTCCTCTGCTCCCTGTGCCCTCCCTCCACAATACCTGGCCCATGCTCCCCTGGGACAGCTCTTTGAGGCAAGAAGTGTATCTAGCCCATCCAGCACAACTCTCCATGTCTTTAAGTTTATCTTCTCCAGCAGGAACTTTACTAATTCAGGTTGTGAGCTCACTAGTTTCCTCATTTCCAGCAGGGACCCCAAAGGGAGGCAGGGGAACACCAGGCATGCACCATCACATTCAGAACCTCATTTTGGTCCCCCATGAATGTGTCCATGAATATGTCATGGGAGATCAGGGTGAGAAGGCCCTGAAAAGCAGTGCAGGCTGTGGTCTCACTGTTGAGCATGTCCTGCTTGGCAGTTCATGGAGAAGCAGTGCACTCATCATGATGGATCTGCAAGAACAAGCATCCTGTGGACATCCAGGAAGATGCATCTGTTGAGGCTGAGCTCAGGAGACCCCTTGTGATCCATTAGACTAACTGTGGAACAAGGTTGCTGACATGTCTCTGGTGGAGGCCTTCTCTATTTGCACCAATATCTCTGTGCTTGATAGTCTCAAAGCCACACATCTGGCACTGTTAGCTCTAGGATACTCCTCTCCCGTCCACTTCCAACCATTATGCTCTTTACTCCAATCCCTATTGCAGGTACATATGAAATAACAGCTGTGTGCAGTGTGGGAAAAATATTTTTGATCATTCCTTCAAGGCCCCTGAATAATATCAGTGGAAATATCATATGGCCACAACATCTTACCTTCTATCATTCTAGGGAGACTTTCCTAAGTGGCAGTATTCTTATATTACAAAATTGAAGAAACAAATGTCAAAGGCATGTAACATTATAGAGTCTTCATGGCCTTCTGTAACAGGCATGTACATGAGTTCATCTCCTGAAATATCCACAGGAACTCTACTCTAGAGATTCAGTGCCTGCAGTGCACTTCATTTTGACAGTCTTTTGGATTAACAAAAGAAAAAGAGCCACAGAATACTGAACAGAAAATATCTGAGAATAATATCCCACATCTTTCCTCACAGCACTCTGGATCATTAGCACAAAATATTGCAAGTATTACCCCAACCCAGACAATTTAGAAGGAATTTGTCTGGATACAAAAATGTTTTCTAGATGTCCTTCAGTGAGACCCTAAGATGACTCCCATGTAACATGGGTGTATTGGGAAGAGAGAAAAGCAAAGTAATCTCGAGATAATGCATCACTAGAGAAAACTATTTAAGAATGGGAGGGAATGAGCACTATGGAATATCTCCATTAGCTGCTATGAGTTCTCGAGGCCAGACCTCATTGATCAGAAAGCTCAGGGCTTTTTTTCATTTACTGAAATTAATGAGCTCTAAGTTGGAAACAAAGTAACATGATCATGGAGTAAACCACATTGTTCACAGGCAGCTCTCTTTATTTCTGATTATTCCTTTATATTAATCCGTACATTTATCTCAAGCCTTAATTTACATCTACAAACTCAAATTCCCATTTTAGATCTTGCCTAACATCCAGGTCCACACAGGTCACTTCCCTTCTCAAATCAATAGCCAAAGGATTCTCGAAGGTAGCTGCTGATTGTTACGCTATTTGTCCTTTCTCAGTCAGAATGAACCCAAGGCTCTGTGCTCCTGGTGCCCAGAAGGAAGAATAGGGTGTGAGGGTACCACTAGATAGCTACACAAGACAAACATGGAGCAGTGTGCAGTTTATAGATGTCCCAGTTTGAACAGATGCCACAGTGAGCAGCACAAAACCAGACCACCCTGGGATGGTTCAATGGCTTCACAGCCCTCCTTAGCACCTCCCACATATGATTCAGTCTCAGTGGGTGGACATAGTCCCAGGGATTGTAAACTTCTTCAGGAGGTGAGTACATCTCCAGTGTTAAGTTGCTCAGCCTGGCAGTGTGGCACAGCAGGCTCTCCAGGGTGGCCAGAGACATGGAGTTCCTCACGTAGCTGAAGGTAGTGAGCTGGGAGCAGTGACTCAAGGCAGGCAAAAAGTCCAAGAACTCAGCTTCCATGATTCCACAGACCTGCAAGTGTAGGGTGGTGAGAGTAGCTGCAATGTTTTCCAGGAGATATCTAAGGGAATCAAGCTTATGAGTCAGGTCCAAACCATACAGAGCCAAGTGTTTCAGGTGTCTGACACTTGGACAGTGTGGCAGCTGGTTCCAGTCGGAGTCTAAAAGCTGGCAGTAACTTAACCGGAGGGTCTCCAAGGGGCATATCAGACACCTAGAGAGAGAACAAAAAGGTAGATCCAGCCATTGGAGGTGAAAAGGAGTGGTTCATAGGGAACAACTCCAAGGTAATCCCAGTGTCGTTAGAGTCACCCCAATTTAAACTGAGGTCACTTCCCATTACTAGTCTCTGAAGTCGCCTTTGCTTTCTCCTAAGCAGAAAACCACAGCCCTCTCCTGTTGCGGGAGCAGGAGACAGGCAGGAAGGAAAAATCATTGAAGGACTAACCACATCCAGTGCGGTGGCTAAAAAGGCTGTCAGCAGAGGCTGTGACCTTATTCCAGTCCTGCATTGCTCTTTGCCATATGTTTGAGACTCCTGCCCTTTAACTCTGGTAATTACCCCAGCTGGCAGGAGAGGATTCTGATCCTGACTGCCAGGAGGATAAGAGAAACATTGGGTGTTGCTCAGCCTCACTGACTGCAGATGGAGGGGATGGGGAGGCAGCAATGGAGGGAGCAGCAAGGCCCTGTCTCCTCCCACAGACACTAGGAGTAGGGACTGGACTGGATGCAAGGCAGGAAGAGGAAATGGGAAGAAGACTAGCATGACACAGAAGAGTGGAGGAGAGGGAAACCAATGTTTGGGATGAGGAAGGCATAGGGGAAAGAAGGGTGACATCCAGCTGAGTTTGTGAAGCCTATGATGGAGTCAAACAGCAGCCTTTCCCAGTGGAGAACAGGACGGTGGGCTCACTGTCTCTCATACATCTTCTGAGCAAGTAGCTCACACACTGTGAAGTGTGAATTCTTGTCTTTCCTTGGTGCCATATGCCTTGGCTGCTACTCAGCACCTTACTCTTGATGTGCTTTCTGAGGGATAAAGCACACTCCTGCCTGCATGTATCTGGCCACTGACTTGCAATATCCTAGCATAGTGGCCCTTTGCAGTCCGGATACCCATGTAGCGTGGCTATCTGACATGCTGGTGTAGGAATGAGGAGTGAAAAAGGCAATGTGTTGATTCTACAGTGTTTGATCTCTGTCACATATCCCGTGGTTGCACACTGTCCATATCCTCTAATGTGTCTAGAACAGACAAAGACTCTTGTGACTCTGCACAGAGAGCTTCACATCTTACCTGAGCACCTGGTCCAGGTGGCCTTCCAGGAAGAACAGAGAGTCCACATAAACTTCCTGCAGACAGTGAAGCTTCATAAACTGAGAAGTGATTTGGGAGATCATCTGCTCTGTCTTTTCTGGGGAAATAAGGCCAGGCATAGAAATGTCAGAAAGCATTAGTGTGTGGAGATTTTGCATCTGGCCTAAGTAAGGGGCAAAATGAGCCAGGGTGGAGATTTCCCACCGACCCACATCCACATGCTGCACCAAATCAAGGTTGAGGCTTTCAAAGAGCTGAGTGATCTTTTGAAAGCACCTGCTTGTGATCCTCAGGCTTGTACATTCCAGCTGCACCAGGCCTTCTCTCTTCTGGACCCACTGGAGGAGGGAGATTAGGAATGGATCCATGCCAAACTCACTGAGCCACAGATCTAACATCACTTTGAGAGGCTGCTTTTTTGCTACCCTTGGCAGAGTCTTCTCTGTTTTTGTCTTCCTCCTGACTTCTGAGGAGCACGCTTCTAACTGGTTTTCAGCCCAGACTTTCCAGAAGTCCTGGTGCATGTCCCGCATATCCAGCACTTGCAATTTCAGCCTCCTGTGGGGGAACCAGGAAGGAATCTGAGAATTTGGACTGGACCCGTTTCCTCCTGTGATTTAATCATCTCTGAGGTCACTTCCTGTTTTCTCTATTCTGCAGTTTTCTGGTCCCCCTTTTTCCATCCCTACTCCTGGTGTCTGTGGAAGGAGCCAGGAACTTCTTGCTCCTTTCACTGCTGCATCTAGCATTAGCTGTCCTGCCCTTCTGGCAGCTCATGCCCAGCTGACTCAGCAATGCTCAAGGCTTCTCTGATCCTGTCACATTCAGAAGCCTCTGCTTCACCCTTAAGCCCCTACTCTCCCTGGGACTTTCAGTCCCTGACTCAAATCCCATGGCCCTCCCTGAAGAACACTTTGGTTACACTCACCTGGAACCAAGCTTCTGGCTCAGCAACACATCGAGCCCAACCAGAACAGCTTGTAACATCCTGTTCTGCACCTGGTCAACATCCACCTGAGTGTTTAACTTCCTTGCTTTCCAGATGTTTATCAGGGCTCCCAGGGGCAGGTAGGGAAAGGGCCAGGACAGCACCATGGCCTTGAGGAGTTCAGCATGTCCCCTGGTGAAGGCCTCCATGAACACTGGTGGGAAGAGCTCCCCTGGCAAATCCTCTACGGCCCATATGGCCAAGTCCTTATCTGTCAGAAGACTCTGAATTGCAAGTTTCTGTAGCCTGTGTGGGAACTGGGTGCTCATCCTGGTCAATCTGGTGTGCCAGAGGTGCTGTGGAAACACTGTGGAAAGAGACATCCTTTCAGGCCAGGCTGAGACACCTATTCATACCCATCAAGAAACCAATGTGCTGCCAGTCCTGATCTGACAAGGGTAGCAGAGGCCTCAGTTTGTCCAAATCAGTATGTTCTCATGGTCCCAAAATACTGCTGCTGCTTCTAAGGGACCAGGAAGACTGTCTGCTAGTGCCCAGATGAAGCAAGGTGAGAGCAACAGACCTATTTCCAACTGAGCACCCTGAACTCTGAACCCACTGAGAAATGGGAGCCATGAAACAGGAATTCTCCAGCCTGGTGTGGTGGTGTCTGGCTTTAAAAGCAGCACTCAGGAAACATGAAACATGAAACATGAAAATCTTTGCAAGCTTGAGACTAGTTTGGGCTATAAAGTGAGCTCAAGATCAGCCTCAACAGCAATAGTGAGACCATGTCTCTAAAAGTTAAAAAAAAAAAAAAAAACATACCCTTCACCTTCTAAGGTTTTATTAACAATATTTATAACTTAAACTACACAACTGTGGGGGAAATAGCAATTGAGGCCTAAACCACAAAGCCAAGCACTTACAGGCTTTTTTCTGACCATATATAAAATTGATGGTTTTTCACAATTCCAAAAGCTCTAGGCACATAAACTTCAAGTTGAGATTACTCTGTACTTGAATCATAAGTTAGTGGAGCTGAAGAACGGAAAGGTGAAAGAAGTGTTTTATTGGGGGGAACCAGAGACTACTCTCCTTGAAAAGAGGAGCCACTATCTCCATTGTGGATAAACTTGTCCCTCTCTCCCTGTATTGATATATATAGAACTGGCTAGGCCATTTCCTTGTCCATTCAATTGACTTTAATCAATGTAAATTGGGCTGGCTGAGCAACTGATATATAATATCTAAAGCAAAGGGACAGGTCAGTGTTACCCCACCCAGTGACTTCCCAAATATGGGATTGATCTGGGTGGGATGGAGAGCTGTGCTACATGCTGTGGGCTGGGACCAAACCTTGAGAAAGAAGCTGTGACTTCCCAGGACAAACAGGATTGTAAATCAGAACGGCACCAACCCCAAATTGTTAGACACTGCCTCAGTTGTGTTATGCAGATTGCTTTCTCTGCATTTCTTGCCCTGTGCTCATGGCAGAGGTGATGTCAGGTCTCCTCCCTAGCCCACCTCAGGGCAGCCATGCATTTCCTACCACTCTCACTGTCATTCATCCCTGAACTGCTCCCTTCAGGGGGAATTGATAAGACCTGGAAAGAGCTCTGGGTGGAGGCCTTGTGCTGGGGAACCACCACCTTGGCTGAGCTTAGGACCCCTTGGCTCCATATAACTGTGCATATGTCCCATTCTTCTTGCCAGGGGGTACACGGGAAGTGGTAGACCGGAATTAACTCACTAGAATTGCAATAACTGCTCCTTAGGATTACAGTTATAAACTTTCTTAGACACCAAGAGGACAGAAAATGTTTCTCTATATTTTAGAAAGCGGGAGAGCAGATGGATGAGCTTATCAGAACAGGAAAAGACTGGAGAGCACAGTGAAGAGAAGGATGTTAGTTTGGATTGTGGAAATTTGTGTAAAAGGCATTACCAGCATTCTATTGTCCACCACTGTCTCTTGTGTGGCTTTGGTCAAATGGTCAACCTCAGATTTCCTCACCTGTGAATGGGCTCACAAGTGTACCTATTCCCATCCTCCCTTTCTTGCCTTATTGGAACACAGCTTTATTATATTTTAGTTTGGCATTGAACTCACTTTGTAGCCCACTGTCTCAACCATCCTGCTGCCTCAGCCTCCTGAATGCTGGGATTTTAGATGTGTACCACCACACCTGGCTTCCTCATTCGTTCTTTGAGGGATGTATTACTGTGATTTCCAGCTTGAACTAGGATTTGGGGTGATGGATAACAGGGAATCTGCACAGAGTCCTAAGCATCTATGCTTCTGCAATGTTTCTTACTCTCTGCCCACTTTCCATTCTCTCCTGTGAACCCGGGGAAGGTTTGCATCCCCTATTATTACCCACCCCATTCCTAGTCCCAACATAGGCCTGTCCTGCTCATGCATGAAGCAGAATTAAGTGACCACTGCTGTGGCACTCAGCTTTCTACATCACACTCTGCTATACCCCAGTCTTCACACACCCTTCCCCAGTAGCTTCATTGTCACCCACACACTGGGCAATGAGGACTCTGTGGTTTTTGTCTTTAGAGATGCAGGTGGAGGTGGAAGAGTGGAGGAGCAAAGGCTGAGGGTAGAACACACAAGAGGGGAGGAGGGGATGGACTCGAGAAGGAATGAGGCTCCCAGGGAGCTGGAGGCTGGGGACAATTGGAGAGGGATGGACCATAAGATTTCCTCCCCTCTCCCCCTTCTCTCTTGGTGCTGTCCTCTGGGAGCTGTGCGGGCAGATGCCTTAACCTCCCTCAGTTCCCTCACCTGAAAGGAGAGGATGAGTTAGCACCTTGCTCAGCAGGTCAGGATTGACTTAGGCAAACTCTGGTGTTGCCCCTTGGAATTGCTGATGTCAGCCAGGTGTGGTGGCCACAGCTGTAAGCCCAGCAGTCTGGAGGTGGAGATGGAGGGTCCCTGGGAATTCAAGGCCAACCCAGGCCACAGAGTGAGTTTAAGGCCAATTCAGCCTAAATTACAAACAAAAAGCAAACCAAAACATGCCTTGCTCTGAGTACACGTTACATGTTTTACCCAAAAGCTCAATAGAACTCTGAAATCCATGCTGCTGTTATGAGCATACTCGTTAAATATCTGACCCCTTCTTTATAATCTCTCAGAACTACAATAGGTAAAACGATAATCTGCTTGCTACAAACTTCCAAGTCAACAGAAATGTATTTCCCTTTCTCCCTTCCTCCTTGGTCAAAGCCATTTTATGCACCACTAAAATATTTCTACTGAGCACTGGGGAAATTCATGTATCAATGGTATTGAGCATTTTAAAATTAGGATGGAGCTGAGTGTGGTGGTGCAGGGCTGCAGGCCCAGCAGTTGGGAGACTGAGGCAGAAAGATTGTTAGAGTTCCAAACCAGCCTGGTATACAGTGTGGGTTGAATGCCAGCCAGGACTGCATAAGGAGACCCTGTCTCAAAAAGACAGTAAATAAAGGAATGAAAAATAAAGTTAGCATGGAAAATACTGAGATGTAGATTCCCACACATTCTCACATGTGTGAAATTTACCACTTACGATGAAGATATGCGTGAGACAGATCCACATGTTTCTCTTTTACTTTTTCTTTTACTTATTTTTTTTTTTTTTGGATAAAGAGTCGTGGTCTATTGTTCAGGCTGGCCTTGAACTTCTGGAGATCTTCCTTCCTCAGCCTTCCAAGTGTTAGGATTATTGGTGTGCCCCACTACACCAAGCTAATCTGCTTCAAGTATTTCATAACGCTTTTTGGTGAAAAGGAACATTTGATTTATCCATTCATATCACCCAAAAGTTTGTAATCAATAATTATAGTGACAGGAAGAAATTATTTAAAAATCTATCAGCTGGGATTTGTGGTGCATGGAAATTATTCCATCATCTATTAGACTGAGTTTGGATGATCACAAGTTCCAGTCTGGCACAAGGATCTTGGTGACTTTTTGAGAGGTAAAAAAAATTATTGGACTGTAATGAGATTTTTTCCAGCTAAGACAACACGGTGATCAGTGAGAATCTTCTCGTGACACCCTCAAAAATTACCAGTTAAAGATGCCAAAATATTTGTTCTTAGCTAAGACAATATGGCAACTTAGTACCTTCCCAAAATGGAAACCAACCAAACAAACAAACAAAAACCCCAATCAATGGAAAAGAAAATGACACCAGAGTTGTCACACACCATATAATCCCAGCGCTCCAATGGTGAGGCAGGAGGGAAACAAGTTTGAATTCATCCTGGACCACAGGAAACTTGAGTGTCAATTTGCTTCAAAATGAAACATGGCAAAGAGGTTGAGATTAGGTCAGCACAAAGGCCTTGTGTTTAAATCCTAGTACCACAAAACAATAGTAAATATTAATGCATGTAAAAGTAGATACTGGTCGGCAGGTATGGGGGGTGGAGCATGCCTGAAATCCCAGCACTTGGGAGGCTGAGGCAGGCATTGCTGGGTGTTTGAGGCCACCATGGCCTAGAGTGTTTTCAAGGCCTTCTCTTAAATACCCAAAGAAAAAAAGACATAGACATTTATATCAGAAATCAAACTTATTTTAGCTGAATACAAATCTGCATTTTAAGATAAATCTAACCTCACATCCATTCATGTGAGTCTACAGACAAAGGAACACTGATGGCATCCTGCACTGCAGGTCACATTGGGGACTGGCTCTTGGAAGACAGGTTTCCTGTGCCCAGAAGGGTGGCGACTCAACAGGGCTGGATGAGAATGGTGGGGTGCTCAGGTATCCAAGGAAGATAGGCAGTGACTCCAGGCTCCAGGGTCCTGGGTGGCTCCTCAAAGCCTTTTCTTGACTCTTGATCCTGTCTTCCTTATCAGACAGTGCTTTCCCATCAGAGTGGAGAGTCTAAGCTCCACCTAGGAAATCCTGACTGCTTCTCAGATTTCTCCAGGTTAATGCACAGATAGTATGAAAAATCCCATTTGGAAAAGCAAGAACAAAGAAGAGTTTGGTAATCCAGAAATCATGCAGTGATGCACTCCACACCATTGTTGAGTTTTACACACATGTGAAAATTGTAGCTCTGTGTGAGACAGTGAAGCATATTATCTGATCTGACAGTGAACAGAAAATAACCCAGAAAAAGTGTGGATAAGGATATTAGGCTACAGAAAACTTATCAAAGTGTTCCAGAGTTAAAACCACTATTTGAATTCAGTGAAGTCCTCCTCAGGGTAAGCACAGTTGTGCCCTGGTTGCTGTGCTTCTTGAAAGCAGATCCTGTGCCCATTCAGGGAGGAGATGGCCCACTGAGGGTGAGCTTGGTCTTTAAGACTCCGGTG